CAGGCCCTGGGGTGGGGGGCCCTATTCAGGACTCGGGGGGCTCTCAAGGGAGAGGGTGACCCCAAAGGGGGCTGGTGGGGTGGGGGTGTAAGGCGAGTGGGGGACTTTGTGCAGGGGAGGGGGTCCATCCTAATGGATGCTGGGCCCCACCCACGGCCGGCACATCCTGACCCCACAGCACCCCCTCGTCTGGCAGGTGCGAGGATGCTGGAGCAGCCGCGCAGGGGTCCGGAGCAGGCCCGGCGCCCACGGCAGGTGAGCAGCTGGAGCCGCCGTCCCCCTCGCCTGCCTCGGCTGCGGTCTTGGTGCGGAGTCCGGGCGCCTGCCCTGATGTCTCCTCTTGCTGCAGTGTCCGGTGCTGTCCCCACGGAGGCCGCCCAGGCGCACGGCGCGGGAGAGCAGGGCCGCGCAGTGGGGCATTGAGGTGGCGGCGGTGCTGTGCTGGCGTGGCTGGGAGCTGGGGCAGGAGTTCCCCAAGCTCCTGGCCTTGAAGAACGTCAGCGTCCGAACACAGAGGCTGCGGTACCGGTGGGTGCGGGGCGGCTCCAGACGTGCCCCTGTGGCCCCTGGGGAGGCAGCTGCAGTCGGAGGGGCGCAGGGAGCCCGGGTCTCGGTGGCTTGGTTACTGGGGAGGGGGAGTTCTCTTTAAAACAAGGTGTCGATCTCTGCTGGGCCCGTGGCTGGGGGACCCGGGGCTGTACGCTGGGGGGACTGCCCTGCTGTTGCGGGTGTTTCGAGGCTGGTTTTGAGGACTGGCCTCAGTGTCCCTGTGTCCAGAGGGGCAGGTCTTGCACTGCTTCGCCTGCCTGGCCCTGGCTGACGCTGGCTCGGGGGCGCCCTGTGCTCTCCTTCTCTGACTCTCCTGTCCTGGGCTGTCCCCAGGCCACCTGCCACCCGATTCTTCAGCACCATCTTCCCACAGCCGATCATCTTGAGCCCTGGCATGTCCCTGACTCTGCCCATTGTCTTCCGCCCCCTGGAAAAGGTAGAGTGGGTCCATCGCATCCAGTGCCGGGGCAGGGCTGGCTGAGGGGGTCACAGGCCTCTCCCGCACAAGAGCCCCTTGTGCTCTGCTTCTGCTTCCCTCTTCCTTGTTCCCTCTTCTAGTAACGTGTCCACGTAAGGGCAAGCCACCCGCTGGCAGTGTGACCACGGGCTGAAGGGGCCAGAGACTGGGGTCCCCTGTGGCCTGTACAGGCTGAGAGGAGAGCAGAGGTGGGGGGGGGGGAAACACGTGCTGTGGCCTTCCCTTGCTGGCACCTGGAGGTTACCAGTGCTCAGTAGTGGTGCAGCCCCTTTCGCTGGCAAGCCAGGCGCTGGGACCCTCTCCAGCACAGTGCAGGCACCCAGGGGCCAGGGGAGCTGCTGGCTGTGGAGATCAAGCAGGTGCATCCGTGTTTGGTGGATCTGGGCTGTGCTGATGCTCCTGCTTGGATTCAACCCAGGAGGCTCCTGGCTGGAGGGTCTTGCCCCTTTGCTCAAGCTCATCCTGATACTGCCTTGGGGTCAGGCAGGCTCAGCCTGGCACCACCTGGGGGTTTCCCCTTCCTCTGCAGCAGGGGCACGACCTTGGCCTGGGCTCTCTCCAGCGCCCACCAACCCCCCGACAGCAGGAGGACGTTGGTGGCCATGACCCCCCTGCTTTCCCAGGGGCGGGGGCTATGCCTGGGGCTGTGTTAGGGGCGACTGTGTTGTGCAGCTCCAAGGCCGCACACGGGGTTGGTCTGGGTGGTTTGGACAGGGCTGATCCTGCCTCAGGCTGGGTGTGACCCCACAGTTCCCTGCCAGCCCCACAGCTCTGGGACTCTGAAATGGAGAGGAGAATCCGGGCAGGATGAGGCAGCGGGGCCATTCACATGCTGCCCTCACTGAGGCATGCAGCCACTGCTGGGGCTTGGAGGGGCCATCCCTGTCTGTCACACGCCGTCCCCAGCACTACCCTGCAGGGCCAGGAAACAACCGTCAGGCATGTGCAGGGCACCGTCCCATCCTCAGGAGCCCAGACACTTCCTGACTCGGCCTTTCTGTCCACAGAGGGAATACAAGGACTGCATCTGCTTTGAGAAGCCGGAGGGAGAGTTCTCCGTTGCCCTGCAAGCTGCACTGCCCTGCCATGCCCTATTCTGCCCAGACACCCTCCAACTGCCCACCTGTGCTGCCTACCACTTCTCTGAGGCCACCTTCCTGCTGCGCAACATCGGGTGAGTGAGCCCCAGCCTGCAGCCGCAAGCATGGCTGGGTCCATGACAGGATGCAGCTCATTTGCTGGCTGCGGCCAGGGGCCAGGTGCCTGCCTGTGGGACATGCATTGGATAACTGGGGCCAGGACTGGGGGGCTCTGACTTCTGCCTTAAACTCCTCTTCATCTCCTCCAGCGATCTAATCACTATCTTTATCTGGGAGGTGCCCAGCCCCTTCCACCTGGTCCCCACCAGTGGCCTGCTGGAGCCGGGCGCCGTGTGCACGGTGAAGGTGCTTTTCCAGCCCCAGGTGGCCCTGGCCTATGATGTGATGGCAACCTGCCGCTTTGGGGTTGACGAGGAGCAGAACAGGATGATCCGGTTGCGAGCTAGTGGTGAGGCTGCCCAGGACCGGCCTGACTCAGAGCTGCAGGGTGCCAGGGGCTAGTGGCCAGGGATGTTGCAGGGCCATGAGACCCTGCTGTGTGGGACCTGTGCAGACCAGTAACTGGGCTGAAGGAATAGGGGAGGGGAGCTGGTTTGGCTTAGTGGTACAAACACTGGAGGGGCTGGAGTCTTAGCTATACTGGGACTCAGGGTGCTCCCAACCAGCACCATTTCCCTGGGACAAGGGCAATCCGTGCAGAGGACAATCTTGAGCAGCCTAAAATTGTGGGGTGTGCCCAGGGGAAAGAGAACAGCTCACGGCCTTGCGAGAAGGTTAATGCAGGGTCCTGGGGCTTGATTGTGGGCTGTGATTTACCATAGCCAAATACCTGCACCTGGTGGTGAAGGTGCTGGGGGAGCCATGTGAGGACGTGGGGCCTGGAGGCACTGGAGACGTGCTGTGCTTTGGCGCTGTGGCTGTCGGCACCACCGTCGAGGCAAAGGTTGAAATCTGCAACCCATCCACGGTACGTGGGCATGGGTGGGAGGTGGTTCCTATGGGGCTACCTGCCTCCTCTGGGGGAGGGGGACCTGGGTCTTCCATCCCTGGGCAGGTGCCATGTCAGGGCTACCTGCCTGCCCCCTTTGCGCTGGCAGGCTGGTAGGATCCTGGTTGCCTCCCTGGGTTTGATGGCAGAGAATCAACTCTGAGCTCCAAAGCCTGTGATCTTGTGCGGTGCCTTTGTGTTTTGCTATTGCCCAGGCACCTGTGCAGGGACCAGGAGCCTGGTCTAGGCACTTGGCAAGAATGTCCACCCCTGCCCCAGGTTTAGGGGTCATTGAGCAGATGAGCAGATAGACTGCAGTGACTTTGAGTGGTTCCCTGCCAAGGGTTCAGCTGGGATAGGGACCCAGCCCCTGAGCTGTGAGCCTGGCCAGTGCAGCATGAACAGGTTACAGGCTCCAGGCGGGAAGTGCATAACCCTGGTCCTCTTCCCACCTGCACCCCCCCAGGTGAGCGCCCCTTTCAGGATAGAGCGTGCACAGGAGCCACTGCCCCAGGACAACACCTTCACCTGCCCAATTAGCAGGGCTGTGGTGCCTGCTAGTGGGAAGCTGCTCCTCCCCGTACGGTTCAGCCCACAGACTGTTGGGGTACAGAGCGTGGACTACTTCAGTGTGGTACCTGCCGGGGGCCTCACACATGCTGTGCTGAAGGTGATGGGCTCCTGCAAAGGTATTGAGCCACCAAAAACACTCCCAGGTCATAGAATCACAGAGTCCCAGAGCTGTGGGGCTGTGAGGGAGCTGCAGGGTCACATCAATCCAAGGCCTGCCCTGTCCAAATCAGTAGCCACACAACACGGTCACCCCTGACACAGACTCAGGCATTGTTCCCACCCCTGCCCCAGGGAAAGCAGGGGGACCATGGCTGCCAGTGTCCTGGTGCTGCCAGGGGGGTTGGTGGGTGCTGGAGAGAGCCCAAGTCCAAGCTATGCCCCCACTGCAGAGGGAAGGGAAATCCCACAGTCCGGGGCAGGCTGAGCCGGAGGCAAATCCCTGCCTGCCCCTCCCCAAGGCAGCGTGGGGCTGAGCCTGAGCTTGGGGCAAGAGCCTCTAGCCAGGACCTTGCGGGGCTGAGTCCCAGCAGAAGAACTGGCACAACCTGGTCCCAGCCCATGGCCTGGGCTACAGCCAGCACTCAGCACTTCTGGGGGAGGCTTAAAAGGGTCTCCAGGCCCTTCGTCTCAGTGCTGCAGGAAGGGGGCAGAGAGCAGTTCCTGACACTGACCTGCGCAGGGCTCTGTGCCCTTATGGCCCTGGTGGGCTCTAGTGCTGGCTTCCAGGCATGGTGCTGCTGGCACTGCACAGCCAGCTGGGTGCTGAGAGGTGGGAGTGTGGGGTGGGCAGGAGTCGCCTGGCCTTCAGGTCCGGTCTCCAGCATTGCCAGCCTGCAAGGAGCAATGTCAGGAGTGCTAAAAGCACCCTGCTGTGCCTTGGGTCCCAGCAGGCAGATGCGCCTGCCATGGGACAAGCCCCTCCTCAACTGACAGGGCAGGGGTCTGGATAGCCCCAGTGTGAAAGACCCAATCTCCCCCGGGGGTGCTACTGCTGTTGCAGGTCCACTGGTCTGTCTGTCCCAGTCTGCCCTGGGTTTCAACTGGCTCCTCCTCGGGGAACGCTCTGCACAGAGCCTGGAGATCAGCAATATCTCAGATGTCCCAGCCCACTACCAGTTTGACCTGGACGGCAGGGACAGCGTCTTCTCTGTGGACCACCCCTGTGGAGTCCTGGAGGGCCAGGCCAGCCTCAGCCTGACAGTGACCTTCCGGCCTAGCCATCCCATCATCTACCACCGCCGAGTGGCCTGCCTCGTCCATCACCAGGTACCAGGGTAGTACAGGAAGGGGCCGGTGCTGGACAGGATGGGGAACACCTTGCTGCAGCCCTGCTGGTCTCTCTAGGGTGGGAGGTGTGGTGGGCCAGTAGGGGGTGCTGCTGCACTGAGCCACTCACCTCACTGCGCCTTTCCACCTGCCAAGCAGTGCCGAGTGCCTCCCTGGGGGCGCCTCACATCTGGCCAACCCCCTTCCTGGAGCACACCCGATAGCCTGGGGGTACTATTGCCACCACCCAGGGGTCTGGACTGTTTCTAAGCCCTGTGCCCCCTGGGGTACACAGGCCTTGTAGTTCTTGAGGTTGCCTGACCCACTGCAAAAACTTGGGTTGTTTCCTTTATCCTGAAGCACAAAAAGTAGCTTCCCTTAGTCAGCTGGACCAAAGGGGCACAGAGGCATGCCCTTCCCAACAAGTCCACCAGGCTTGGTACTGTGAAGAACTTTATTGGTTACAGAGGCAAGGCTTGGAGAAGAGTACAGGATAGAGAAGTATTACAGGATAACTCTAGAGCAAACAGGGTGGCTAGCAGCCTTTGATCACGCATCTACTTTACAGCAAGCTATATATCTGGACAGGTTTCAGCAATTTACTCACTTTATCATCTCAAGAGAGAGAGCTGCAGATGTTTCAGCTCCTGTGTCTTCATCATGGCTGCTCTGCCCCACCCCCTGGGCAGTCTTAGCTTATATAGATCTTTTTACATCACCCTTCCTTCTGGCTTCCCTTGATGTGTTCGACAGTGAAGTTGAACTCCTGAAGCTGCCAGGCCCATCGTTGAAGCTTGGCATTGGTGTTCTGCATTGTCTGCAGCCACTGAAGTGGGCACAGTCTGAGAGGACCGTGAATTGCTGTCCCCATAGATAGGGCCTCAGCTTGGTCAGTGCCCAGACAATTGTCAAACACTCCTTCTGAATCAAAGACAGGTTCCGCTCACTGGGAATTAACTTCTGGCTCAAGTAGACTACGGGGCATCATGTTCCTCCATGCTCTTTCAGGAGTACAGCTCCCAGTCCTGTGTCCAAGGCATCAGTGGCTACACAGAAGGGCTTATCATAGTTTGGCGCCTTCAGGATTAGCTGTTTGACCAGGGCAGCTTTTAAGGTGTCAAACAGCTCTTGACACTCCAGTTTTCAGGCTATTAGATCCGGGTTAGTTTTCTTTGTCAGCTCATGCAGGGGAGCTGCAGTTGCTCCAAAACCAGGGACAAACCTTCTGTAGGATCCAGCCAGTCCAAGGAAGGCTCTGATCTGCTTCTTGGTTTGTGGTGTTGGCCTGTCTCTGATGGCTTCAGTTTTGTCCCATGAGGGAGCAATTGTGCCCCCACCCACACAGTGTCCTAAATACACAACTTCAAATAATGCTAACTGGCATTTCTGGGCTTTCACGGTAAGACCAGCCTGCTTGATCTTACCTAACACAGTTGTCAGATGAATCAGGTGCGATTTAAAGTCCTGACTGAAGATGGCAATGTCGTTGATGTAAGCCACAGCAAACTGCTCACACCCTCATAGCAGGTTATTAATCAGTCTCTGAAAAGATGCAGGAGAAATGTGCATACCGAAAGGTAAAACAGTAAACTCATACAGTCCCATGGATGTGGTAAAAGCAGATTTGGCTGTGGTGTCCGGGTCCAGTGCTATCTGCCAGAACGCTTTGGACAGATTGAGAGTGGAGATGAACTTGGCTGGGCCCAGGATATCAAGCAAAGAGTCTGTCCTGGGCATAGGGTAAGCATCGGGGGTGGTAATGGCGTTCAGCTTTCTGTAGTCCACACACAACCTGATAGTCCCATTCTGCTTCTGGACGAGTACCACAGGGCTGGCCCAGGGACTAATCAAAGGCCAGATTACCCCCAGCTTCAGCATCTCAACAAACTTATGCTTTATTTTTTGCACTGCATTGACTGCATAAGTTCTATATTGGATAGGGCAATGGCTGCCTGTGTTTATGGAGTGTACCTCCAGGTCTGTTTTACCTGGTTTGTTGGAGAACACTGTCTCAAAGTCCTTGAGTGCTGCATGCAGCCTATCCCTGTCTTGGGAGGGCAGACGATCTGGCAGGTGGAGCTCCTCTATTCCTGCCTCTCCTTCCTAAACGCCACGCATGATCTGCTCCTCTGGGTCCTCAGGTGACCCTTTGACTGAGGAAAACCAAGATACAACATCACTTCTGCTAAAGTAGGGTTTAAGCATGTTTACGTGTATCACTTTGGGCCTTTTGTTCAACCTGCTCCTGGTCACTACATAAGTCACATCGTCCAGCCTGTCCAGGATGGTACGGGGACCTTTCCAAGCTGCTTGCAGCTTGTCTGTGTTTAATGGCAAGAAAACCATGACTGTATCCCCTTGTTCAAAAGTACGTAAGCAAGCCCTTTTATCAT